CTGATATAAGATGGAGCTTGGCCATTTAAGGCTTTATATGTGAGAAGGAGGATTTTAAATTCTATTCTTGATTTAACAGGAAGCCAATGAAGAGAAGCCAGGATAGGCGAGATATGATCTCTCTTTTTAATTTTCATTAGAACTCTGGCTGCAGCATTTTGGATCAGCTGAAGGCTTTTAACTACAGTTTGTGGACTTCCTGATAGTAAAGAATTACAATAGTCCAGCCTTGAAGTAACAAATGCATGGACTAGTTTCTCAGCATCACCCCTGGACAGGATATTTCTCATTTTTGCAATGTTCCTCAGATGAAAGAAGGAAATTCTAGAAACCTCTTTGATATGGGATTTAAATGACAGGTCCTGATCAAAAATAACACCAAGATTTTTTACTTTATTATCTGAAATCAGTTTAATCCCATCCAAATGAAGTGACTGGCTAATCAGTTTCTTTTTCAGAGACTCTGGTCCAAAGACTATAACTTCTGTTTTATCTGCATTCAGAAGCAGAAAGTTAAGAGTCATCCAGGTTTTTATGTCTTCAAGACATGCCTGTAATCTATGTAATGGGTTAGCTTCATCTGGATTTATAGCCAGATATAGCTGGGTATCATCAGCATAACAGTGGAAATTAATCCCATGCTGTCTAATACCTCTACCAATTGGGAGCATGTATAAAGTAAAGAGAATTGGTCCTAGCACTGATCCCTGTGGTACTCCACAGGTAACCTTTGAGCGTGTTGAAGATCTATCATTAACATGAACAAACTGAATTCGATCAGATAGATAAGATTTAAACCAGTCTAGTGCTGTTCCTTTAATTCCAACAAAATATTCAAGTCTTTCTAAAAGAATATTATGGTCAACTGTATCAAATACAGCACTAAGATCCAACAGGACGAGCACAGATACAAGTCCATTATCTGAGGCCATGAGAATATCATTAGTGACTTTCACCAGAGCTGTTTCAGTGCTATGATGAGCTCTAAAGCCAGACTGAAACTCTTCAAAAAGTTCATTATGGTGTAAGTGATCGCAAACTTGTCTGGCAACTACTTTCTCAAGAATTTTGGATAAGAAAGGAAGATTGGATATAGGTCTATAATTGACCAAGTCATCTGCGTCAAGAGACGGTTTCTTAAGCAGAGGTTTAATTACAGCAACCTTAAAAGCTTTAGGTACATATCCCTGTAACAGAGATAGATTAAACACATCTAAAATGGAGGAGGAGATCAAAGGGAATACCTCCTTAAATAACCTGGTTGGAACTGGATCTAACATACAAGTTGAAGGCTTAGATAAAGACAATAATTTTGCTAATTCAGAAAGTTCAACGGATCAAAGCAGTCTAAACCCAGTTCAGATTCCATGACTACCTCAGGTACAATCGCGGATAGAGGAGTGCTTATGATTTTATTTTTAATAAGATCAATCTTATTTATAAAGAATCCCATAAAATCATTGCTGCTAAGAACAGGTGGAATGGACGGTTCAACAGAGCTATGGCTCTGGGTGAGTTTGGCAACTGTATTAAAAAGAAATCTAGGATTATTCTTATTCTCCTCTATTAATGAGGAGAAGTATGCTGCTCTTGCTTTACAAAGGGTCCTCTTATACAGCATTAAACAATTTTTCCAGACTAGGAAGGACTCCCGCAGGCCTGTGGAGCGATATTTTCTCTCCAGTTTCCTAACATTTTGCTTCAAAGTACGCAGCTCTGCATTAAACCAAGGAGCAAGCTTTCTATTTTTAACGGTTTTCATTTTCAAAGGAGCTGCGTTGTCTAAGGCAATACGCAGAGAACTAGCAACCCCAACAACAAAATCATCAACCTGTGAAGGGGAATAAGCTATACTTTTGCACTCTGCAGCACTGCTCAGCGACACAGAGGAGAGAGAAAGTGAATCAGATTCTTTAAAATTTATAACTGCACTATCTGATAAAGATCTACTAAAATTGAACCTTCTTTTGGGGGAGGAGAACTCTGTTAAAGTAATCCTGAAGGTTATTAGAAAGTGGTCAGAGAGGACGGGGTTGTGAGGAAATACTGTGGTTTCTTCACATTCTATGCCGTATGTCAGCACAAGATCCAAAGTATGAAGATGAGAATGCGTGGGACCACTCACACTCTGAACAAAGCCAATAGTGTCTAAGATAGCATTAAAGGCTGCTCTTAAGCTATTGCCTTCAATGTCAGCATGGATGTTAAAATCTCCCACTATGATGACCCTGTCAGTATTTAATACCAAATCAGAAAGGAACTTTGAAAACTCATCTAAAAATTCAGAGTAAGGACCTGGTGGACGATACAAAGTTACAAAAAGAAGAGGTTTTCTTGCCTTGAAATTTGGATCAGGGAAATTAAGGGTTAAATGTTCAAAAGAGTTGTAGGTATTAACTGTTTTGGGAGTAATCAGTAAGTCAGACTGGAAGATTGTTGCTACTCCTCCTCCTTCGCCCACATACTACCATCAATATGTGGGCGAATTACTGAATGTGGTGTAAAGATCTTTGGGGTCCTTACACTTGATAAAGTGCAGGTGATTTTAACCTAAGAAAAAATGTAGAGCACTGTCCAACTCATTGTCTAAAAATGTGACTTTGAAAATGCTAAATAAATTAAAATGGAAGCTTATAAGAAATTATTCAGAATCATGGTCTATTGCGAAGTCATTGAGAAACAGGGAGTAATCTGATCAGTGTTATCAAATTTTCTTCTGTCTATCCTTTCTAAGAAGCCCCTGGCCCAGATATGTCTTACTTCTTCACATTTTTTTCCCCTTTTGCCTCCCTTACATTGGCAGAGCTCTCGGTCAGTCTCAGATGGCCAAATACAGCACTGTCTACTGCAGACTGCACACTGCGCGCCAGCTGTTTAGCCTCTGGAGGAATCTTATGTAACTTTTGCTAAATTTAAATGATTTTGAAACATCCACTAGGGAAGAGAACTTTGAGATATGAAACTGATCTCTGAAATAGTATCTAGCTCTGAAATACTTTTTCTAGCTAGGGCTTCTCTCAATTTTTTTTGGTAGGGTACTTCCTTAGCAAACTTTATAAAGTTTTCTTTTTGCTCCATTTTTGCCATTTAAGGTTTTCATTAAATGTTCTTAAAGGGCAAGAACGTCTAAAGTAATCAAAATGCTACTCAGACTGTGGACAAATGTAGGACAAAACTCTCCTGAATAACAACTAGCTCAAAATGTTTGCTACGAGTAAGAGCCTTCTGCAGTCTAATCTAATAACTTATGTCATTTGAATATTATAGAAAACTGTACTTTCGTGTTAGAATTCATTTTTTTAAGTAACCACAGTTTTTAGTAGTAAGAAGTTGGTCAACTGTTTCTTTATGCTTTGCTGTTGTCCCCCAGGCTTTGATGAATAGAGTCAGAACTTGCTGACTGTTACTCAACCCCCTTTCAAATGTTTCCTTCAATAGAAGTGATTTTCATCACAATGTGGCTTTACAAAAGCAGCCACTAGCTACAAAGCTGCGCTGAACGAAGTCTCCCCCAGCAAAATGTTTCTGTGCACTCAAATGGCCCTGTTGGCTTTAGAGAAACATGCATAGCTTTACATGCCCTACCAAGTCATTTTAGGCTTTCAGTTTTTCATACTCCAGCAATTTTATTGTTCCGGCTACTCCAGGATATTTTGTACCAACTTTGTGTCAAATTGAACCCACCTTTACAAAGATTTGCACCCGTTTTGGTTATTTTATTTTCTGCTTGTGGTTTGCTGAATTCAGTGATTTTATCTTTTATATCTTTTATATATAGAAACCAAAGGATGTCATTTGGTGAAAATGAACATTATCAACCCACAAAGGGCCTGACCTGAAGTCACATGCACTGAAAAAAATAATGCAAACTCTTTTGGCCTTTAATCATATTTAGTTACTGTAACACTACTGGGTAGGACATTAAACAATTGTGTTAAAGTAACTAAATATGATTAATTAAATGCCAAAAGCGGATGCATTACTTTTTTCAGTGTTGAAAGCTGATGTGGCAGTCTCTAATTTGCTGAAATGTTCTTTGAGCAATTCAAGTATCATTTTTTAAATTAAATAGCCGCAATCGCAAAGTCCTATTGTTAGGGGAGTCTAAAGCACATGGGAATTTGATATGCAGAAAAGACAATCATGACCTGTTGGAAATTTGAAATTGAAGTCTTGAGATCTATTTGTTCTGCTTTTCATTCCTTTGTGTAAACTAGTTTATTTAAATCCACTTAATTGTTTATACAGACAATAGGTTTTAATTTTGCTTCGATAAGTTGACAGATATTTAATTTTCATAGGTTGAGACATTTAGCCTTTTTAAAATGGCGATTAATATTCCAGTAAATGCAAAAAAAGGGTTAATTAGAAAATCTTTACTTAATACTGAACAATTCTATGCATTTTTATCTTCAAACTTATTTAGAATACCAAAATAATAAATTCATGTTAAAGAACATTTTTTTTTGTTTTTAAATAGGTTGGAAGAAGGGCAGAAAAATCTAATCACAATAATTGATTATTTGAATTATTTTCAACTAATTTAGTAATTGATTCATTCTTGATTGGAGTACAGAAACTCTTAAATATGCCATTTGCTAAAAGAACAACCAAACCAGAGCTGTAATTAATAAAACACTATACAGAATGTATAAACATTTTGTATTTGGAATGAAAACCTTTTTTTCAGTGGCATTGTTTTATTTATACCTGGTTCAAATTCTCCTTTAAAGCACAATTTGTTGTCTGATTATTAATCAAAAGAATTACCAACAAACTCATGAATATGCAAAACATGTACAAAGTTAGGATATCATTTCAAACAAACTGACTCAACTCATTTCACAAGTGGATGAATTGGTCCAAGCCTATTTTTATGAGTACCACTGGAACACAACCTTTTAACATGGAGTTTATAAATATTCTCATACATTCCTGTAAACCAAAAAGATCGTCATATGCTCTGTTTTCTGACTTTTTTTCTGTCCTAATTCCAACAGAGACCATGACGACTGCCACTTCACCTATTCTATTGAAATGGGACCCAAAGAGTCTTGAAATCCGTACCTTGACTGTGGAGAGGCTTCTGGAGCCCTTGGTCACACAGGTAAATGCAGGAAACACTTTCTGTGGCTAAATAAATCTCTGTCTTCTGAGCATTTTGAGGCAACAATGATGTGAGGTTATAATGAGCAAAACCAGTTCACTTCATTTTCCCCTCTAAATTGTTTTTTTTACTTCTTTTATAAAGAAGCCATAAGCTCCTTAAAATACTGCACAATTCGGTTTCCATTTTGCCTTCGCTGCATAATCTCTCAGCCCTAATAGAGTTTCTTCTTTAATTGACAGCCGTACTTTATGTTAGATAGATGATGAATGGTTGCTGGAGAACTGAATTATAGAAACTAAATCAACTCCTGAGAAGGAAATAAGATTGAATTAAAAAAAGGAGAATTTTTCAGAAAACCAAACCTGCTAGTGAGGTATGTACTCATGCTTTGCAGAAAACAGTGCAACATACATATTACATGTCGAATGAAAAAAAAACAATCAGTTTTCACTTTTGTTACAAATTAAACTAAGAATGCACATTAATTTTCTTGTTTTTGAAGGGTTGTTAAATTGGTACTAATGAGGATATCAGACTGCAGATCCCTTTTTACAATCTTCTTTGTTTTTTCACTGGTGTGCACTGGTTCTACTATTAAGTGTGTGATCTTTTCAGGATAAAGTCACTGCCATAAAAATAAAAAAATGACTGATTCACTTACTGTTAAATGTTATTATAAAAAACTAAAATATGTAGAATCTATATGTACTTTTACAGTCAGTCTGCATTTTACTGCTGCAGCACATTACATGCACTGTAGTAGTAAACAAGCAACATTTCCTGCAAGTTTCTGATTGATCTTAACCATAAAAACTTCTTTGCCATTTTTTATGTTTCTTATTGTTTTTATCACTGCTGCCTTGTGTTAAATTACATTGTTCTGAATTTAAAAGATGGTGTTTTCTTTCCCTAACATTTTAGAAACAGCATATATCTTATTTGTTTTGCATGAAGGCTAAATAATGCACCCTAGTCAATAGAAGATTAAACAATTATAGATTGTCTTTTTAAATCTCTATAAATATCTGCCAGTGAATTGCTTTAGCACACAAATCTCAACCTTATTTCCATTAAAATATAATAGATGAAATTTTCACTGCAGGACATGATGTCTCCATCCTTGTCTGTGTGAGACACAATGTTGACAGCGCTGAGATTACCGAGTGTACCAGCAGCCTTCCCCAGTGGTCTGATGTTCTTTGGTTGACTTCAAAGTGCTTTTTATTTTTAATCAAATCCCCTTATTTTAACCTGGTGCATGATCTCTGCAAAGTTATCCTGAGATCCATCCTCCCTTTCACCTGTTTGGCTTAGCTGCTTCTTTTGGTGAATATGTTTGTTTTTTTTTCAGAAAGCATATCAGTTTTCTTCTTTTTTTTTGTAAAACCTGAGCCTCTGTAGAATTTTGAATCTTATCATTTCTTTAGATAACAGTCTGAGTTTGTCTGTTGTCAACTTGCCACGAGTGTTACCATGCTGCATATTGTTGTTTTAAATATAATCTCTTCCTTCACTTTTATTTTTTTTATTTTTTTATTTTATTTTTTCTGTAAAATTTGAACTCCATATTTATTTTGTATTTTTATTTTGCTTCATTTTAATAAGATCTAACTTAATACTTGTTTGTTGCTTAATTTTAACTTAATTTAACTTAACACTTTTTTGCCCTGTAAGCTACTGGTAACCTTAATTTACGGAGGGAGTCTTCCCAAGGGATCAATAAAGTACTGTCTAAGTCTTTCTGTATGTTTAGTGCTTTTAAAACCTTTGCATTTGGCTATTTAGTCAGTGTATCCATCCATCCATCCATTCATCCATCCATCCATCCATCCATCCATCCATTCATCCATCCATCCATCCATCCATCCATCCATCCATCCATCCATCCATCCATCCATCCATCCATCCATCCATCCATCCATCCATCCATCCATCCATCCATCCATCCATCCATCCATCCATCCATCCATCCATTGAGTATAATAATATAGCAGTCTTTAAAGTAGTTGAGAGTTGGGTTAAAACCTGGACAGGTCCTAGTTATTATATACCGTATTTTCACGACTATAAGGCGCACTTAAACGTCTTTTTTTTCCCTCAAAATGTGCGGTGTGCCCTATGGTGCGGTGCGCCTTATGTGTGTTGTAACTGCGACTTTTGAGACCACCTCATTGAGGAGATGATGAAAGAGTGGCTGAATGTAAGGAGACCAGGTGTTTTTTTTTCCACTCATCACCATCGCTGTTAATCTGTAACTCCATGCGTGCCAATCTCACAGCTGATGTGAAAAACATGGGGAAACAAATTAACCCTGTGCTCGCTGTTCAACCGCTCGACATCGGTGTGAACCGGACCCAGCAGGTGCAGCAGAAGCAGCGAGTTTACATGCAAAGTCAATGGTTGACGCGCGTATAGGCGCAGCAAAAGGTCCCGCAGCGCGTTTTGAGCTGCAGGTGCAGCACGTCGGGAGCGTTTAAGCATCTGACGCACCGCCAACGCGCTGCTGCTGCTTGAGATGGAAAAATTGAAGTTTTGCTGCTGGACGCGCCGCATCAACCAATCAGAGAAGCTGATCTGGGAGCTGACAGCGAGACAGACAGCGCTCTGATGACATGATATTAACGCAAATGAAACGGGCTGGATGGATGAGAAGATGATGAAAGGCAGGTGTATGTGAGGAGACCAGGTGCTTTTTTCCACGCATCACCATCGCTGCGTGCCCATCTCACAGCCGATGTGAAAAAAAGGTGAATCAAATGAAGGCTGTGCTCGCCGTTATCCCGGGGGTCTGACAAAGGAACTTCAACCGCTCGACATCGGTGTGAAGCGGCCGTTCAAAGTAAGGCTGCGAGCGGCGTGGGAGCGATGGATGACTGACGGAGACCACAGTTTCAGGATAAGTGGAAGGCAGCGCCGGGCAAGTTACGCCACCTTTAGCGGATGGATTGTAGATGCTTGGACTAACGTGTCTGCTGGCTCTGTTGTTCAAGCTTTCGCAAAAGCAGGCATTATTTCTGTGGAGCCGCGCTGCACGGAAAGTGACTGACAGCGAAGAATGGGAAACTGGCATGTCTGATTTAGCGCATCTGTTTAATTCAGAAACAGAGGATGATGACTTTGATGGGTTTGATTAATACTTTGTAATAAATACATGAATAAAGCACAAACATACTCAGTTTTGCTCCCGCTCTATTTTTCTACCTGAAAACTTAATTCAACAGCAGCATCTGGGCGGGTCTCCTCCTCTTCACCGCGGTGGCTGGCAGGTGTTTTTTCATCTAAATAATCTAAATCTTGCAGCTATATTTGCTGTGATCAGGGGGAATAAAGTAGTTTTAATATGTTTTTAAGTGAGAAAGGCCACCTGAAAACTTAATTGCAGTCAGTTCATCCAGATTATCTATTTCTGTCGGAGGCGCTCAGACCCCCACATACCAGCAGTGCACCGACAGCAGAAATCCCTTCAACAGCAGCCTCACCGCGGCGGCTGGCAGGTGTTTTTCATCTAAATAATTTAAACTGCAGGCACCAGGATACCGGTAATAAAAGCGAACATATTCCGTCGGCAGGTTTCAGGATTTTAAGTTAATTTAGGAGTGATCACAGCGCTGTGTCATCTGCGATGTGTCTGTCTCATGGCCAGCTCGCAGGTTTGATTAATACTTTGTAATAAATACATGAATAAAGCACAGTCATACTCAGTTTTTGGGCCCGCTGTATTTTTAAAATATGCAGTAGAGCTATTTAAAGGTAGTAGAGGACATGTACCTGTATATAAAAAATGCGCCCTATAGTCCGGTGCGCCTTATGTGTGTGTTAAATACAGAAATGGGACACATAACTGAGAGTGCGCCTTTTAGTACGGTGCGCCTTATGGTCGTGAAAATACGTAGGCCTGGAAATGATTATCCACGTGTCGATACTCGGCTATTGATTTGCTTCCGTCACAAAGAAAATTAGTCATTTCTAAATGAATAATATCAAATGCTCAGCAGTAAAACCCTGATGTTTCATTTGGCCTTTTTTAACTTGAAGTATTGCTGGTTTTCAAACTTCACCAATCCTCGACTTTTATGTATTTATAACTATTCTAGGTTACTGCATAATTGACTTTAATTGCATTACATCACATTGAACAAAGTAAACCCTTTCTCTTTGGAATAAAAGCTTTGCTTAATCCTATTGCTTTGAACTGCATTAACATAAAGTTTCTGGACAAACGCTGCTAAAATACTAAGAAGATATGAAACTGTCTGAAAATGAAACAGTCAGACAGTTAGAGAAATTATTTTAATGACTCTCACTTAGTTGCACGGTGGTTTGAGTTAGCCACATCTGCTCTTTGTTCCGTCTGAGTGGTCAGAAGACTGACAGGTAACTAATTGCAGAATGTCAAGGGATGGGAAGCTGATGGATTTTTTTCCCAACATAGTAATGCTTGGCTACCTTTACACCAAATTATATGTCTTTTGAAGACTTTTTTACAAATTAAAAACACCCTCCTATTAATGTCTTGATTTTATATCTCTAGAAAAGCTTCCTGTTTTGACAGAGAAGCTTTTAGATAAATTCTTTCCTTTCTCCTTCATTACTGTGTAAAGTTGGCAGCAGACATATTTTTTCTTCATTGTATATATTCTAATAAACCTCTATTTCAAAGTCTTTGAACTGATGCATCTTATAATCGTTTATTATTTACATCCAAGTTAATGTTATCGTTCCATTTTAAGCATTATATACTTTAAAGAAATAATTATATAACATTTACTAGAGCAAAAAAAAATAACGCAATGACCTGGAAATAAAATGTCAGCAGGAAAGTGGACTGTGACCTTATCCACTTTTTTAGTGTAGATTATTTTATGAAAATAATTTATATTTTAGTATGAACCAGCCACAATTTATTTCTGGAAAAACGTATTCGATATGTTTGGATAAAGTGAAGAAGGAAGCTCTGGGAGGATAGAGAAATATGTATGTCTGACGCTGAAATAGTC